GCAATATTTTAAATTAAAGTAAATATTTTTAATAATTACTAAATTACTTAAGAATACTTTGGATATATTTGAATATTTTCTATAACTTTTAAACATGAAAATTTTTAAATAATTAACATATTTTGAAATATTTTTAAAGTATTATATACATGTATATATAAAGAATATTTAATAATACTAATTCAATAAAAATAATGCTCCTTTAACTTATCAGAATATTTTGAATATTTCAAAAAAGCTTTAAATTAAAGTGGTATTTAATAAATACTTAATTTAAATTCTTAAATTTGCAATTAGCTTAATAAGTCTATTTTAATCTTTTTTAGAATATTTTAAAATGTCTTGAATAATTTAAATTTATGTTGTTGCAATATTTTATAAAATGTAAAAAAGCTTTAAAATTATTTATTAAATTTTTTGAAATTTGTGAAAGTGTTCGAAATACTTTGAGAATTTTGTAAATTTAATTTTCAAATATTTCTCAAAAGTTGTGAAATATTTCGAAATATTTGCAAATTATTTTCGATATTTTAGGATATTGAAATATCTTTCAAAATATTGCAAAGTTTAAAAACCTAGCAATAACTTTTAAAATTTTTCGCTTTACTTAAATTGCTGATAACTTGTAAAGTGCTAATATAAAAAATATGTGTTTTGAATATTATTAAAATATATTAGTACAATATACTCTTGGTATAATCCAGGTATATATTTACAATCTAGCTTGTTTTTGCAATATTCTGATGAATCTTAAAATATTTCTAAACTTTTTTACAATATTTCAAATATTTATTTAAAAAAATATTTTGAAATAATTTGTGAAATATTGTGAAATATTTTTGAGAATTATTTCAATTTTTAGTTTTCGAAAATTTTCAAAATATCTTGTGAATTATTGGAAATTTGTGTGAAATATTTTAAATTTTGATTTTGCGAAAGTTTTCAAAATATTTTGCGCAATATTGCATTATTTTTGCATATTGCAAATTCTTGCGCAATATTTTGCACATATAAATTTACTGATGTAGTTACTAAAATAAGGTAGGTGTTGATCTGTTAATTATACAGAAATTATTTAAGAAATGCAATTAGCTGTATAAAGAATAAAGTAATGACAATTATATACTAATTTAAAAGTGAAGTTTTTAAATAAAGACTGGTTATAGTGGTAAAAATTCTGTACAAATATGCTATAAAGATTTTTTTATAAGGAAATATTATTTTATTTTTTTGTGCACGTATACTATATTGTTTGGTTATTAAAATATATTTTTAAAAGTTTTTGTGCTATTTCATCAATAAAAATCTGTAAAATTTTTCATTTTTGGACTTTTTTAAATACAGTTCTAAAGGTTTCAATTTTTTAGTATAATATTGATAATCTAATCAAGAAATATTAATAAATTTAATTATTTGGTTCAAACTTCAAGTGAATTAACTTTTTGTTTTTATATTCAAAGTTATTTTTAATTATATAGATTAGTAAAATTTAATAATGATTATATATAAATATTGAATTCGATTAGAGTATTATTGAAAAATTTTCAAAGTAAAAGAATATTTGATATAGAATTTAGATAGTAGCATTTTTTTTTCTAATAGAAAAATACAAATAGTTTATATACTTTTGGCCCTTAGATATTCTAAATATTACTTAATAGACTCTAACAATATCTATACAAAGCTAAAGAAAGACAGAAACACACTACCTTCTACTGATGAAGCCTTCAAACCTTTCTTTGTTCTGATAATATCCTCTAATCTCATCATGATAGATCCTATCGGGACTTCAGATAACCAACCCAGAGAACAAAATCCTACTATACCAGACAATCCACCACCTCTAAAAAAGAAAAAGACAATGTCTAAAACCAAAAACAAAAAAAACACCACCTATAATACTACTACTACCTCACCATATATCATACTAAAAAATTCAACCCAAAGTGAGAAATTTAGCAAACCCTGTTAAAAATATCAATAACATCATCTGATCAAAACAAACCAACAAGTGTGAAAAATAATCTAAATAAACAAAATAGCGTAGAAAATAATCAAAACAAACAAACAAGTGTGAGAAATAATGCAAATACCTTAGGATCCCAGGTCACAAGTATAGTAACCGATCATCACAACAAACCTGATCCATTCCAGAACCTCATCCAAGACAACCTCAGAAGCTCGGTCTAAACATTACCAACTACTTACAACTCTATACAACAAATCCAATCAAAAGAAGACATAGATGACCACATAGATACTCAATCTAATGCAACTACAAAATCTTTCACACCTCCAAAGAAGATATATAGTAGTGCACTTATCTCAAATCTCTCAAAAAAAAAATATACTAAAGATGATCGCTCACTTATCTGGTATAATTCTGGTACTATTGCACTAGCAAAAGCACATATACTAAATTTCGATACAACAGCCTGGAACAATGATACAATTATTAATACCTTTTCATCATCTGAGCTACTTTTAAAATTCTTTTAATACAAAATTCAAGCTAATTCAACTCAATATAATCTACTAAATATCATTTACGAAAAACAAAGAAATCTAATCACAATATCAAAAGGAATTCAACTCATTATTACAAATAGCAGTAGAAAGATACAAAAGGCTATATAATGCTCGCTTTATAAACAAATTCAACAGAAATCAAATTTTCACAAAACTCAAAGCCAAAATAGCCTTAGACTTTATTTGTAATACAAACTTCCTTACCAACAACCCATATAATTGTACATGAATAATTACCTACTATCTCAACTTTATACAAATAAACTGTACTCTTAGTTTTAAAAAGCTATGTAGCTTAATTAATAAAGCTTACTCAACACTACTTATTCCTTTACCTCAAGATCTACTCGAGATAGATTAACTAATTCAACAAATTTTTCCCTTTTTGCTACCAATCCAAGATTGCAAACTTATCTGAGCAACATACTAGCTCTACAAAAGATTTTTACCTTTGAAAAGCTTCTTGATAGCTACTTTCTTACTGTTCTTGAACCACTGCCAGACAATTCTGCTAAACTCCACACTGAAATCTGGAACCTTTTTCCAATTACAGAATGGGCTAGATTGCTATTTCTCTCTGATTACTACTCAAAATTAATGCAATACTACATAATAGAAAGAATTTTCCTCAATTACTTTAATTTACTAAAAGCAAAACCCAAACTTCTATCAACTCCTCAAAATCTCATATTAGCCATTTGCCATCTGTTTCTCTGTAATCCAACTGATGCTTCAGAATTTCATAGATATGTCAATACCCTTAGAGAACACTATAGCTTTCATCATATTCCTAATGATTTCTTTGTACAAAAGAAACCACTTCCAGTATATTCATATACTATTAAGATGACTACAACTTACAACTTTCCTATCTCTAATACTTACCAAGCTAAAGAATTTGTAGCAGAGATCCAAGACAAATATAAATTTAATATCCCACTTCCACTTACTTACATGACTGTCAACCCTACAAATAAACTTTCACTTCCTAATAAACATACACTTATTATTAAAGTAAATCTAACAATACCAATCAGAAGCCCCAAAGCTCTAGTTAATACCACCCAACTCTTGAGAGAACACTACTTCTTCTACCAAATTTCAAGCGAGTGGATCGAAATTCAGATTATTTAAAATACTTCAAAAAAATCTTCACTTCCATCTCAAATCTCAGAAATTATTTCCTATCTCGAGCAAATAAATTTTTATTACACAATTTGCATCCCAATTACTGAACAAGAAAAAATTAAAAGCATCATTGCAGAACTACAAAACCACTTTAATTTTTAAGGTATACCTTCTTATCTTCTTATTTTTCCTAATCTACTAGACCCCCACTAGGATATTCTAGACGATTATTCTCCACTACTATGAATGAAAATTTGCAAACTGGCTTACCACCTACTGGATATAATCTGACAAATTTATACTCCACATCCTTCACTAAGCTATTCTATCATACAAATACTAAGAATATACACAAAGAAATTTGGAAACCAAACAGAAAATGGATACAACAAAATACCCCAAACCTATTAGTTATAATTATATTCTACCAAAACAATACTCCTCTTCACTTAATAGATAGAAAATTTTATTTACGGCTTAATGATTTTATTCACTACAATTTAATATTTCTTATTTTAAATTACATCATCTAGAGGTTTCCCAACCATTCTAGCTAAGAATAAGTTGAAAGTAAATATTAGCTCTAACTTCTACTCCCTTTCATTAAATGTATAAATCAATACAAGTTGTATCCCTATTATACATTTTGAAATAAAGAAATAGAGGAAAAACCTCTCTTAAAAAAAAAAAAAAAAAAAAGAATTTAGATAGTAGCAGTTCTTGAATGTGTACAGGTTGATGGCGCATTACCCAACTATAATGATTTTTTTTATTTGAGTATATACAATATATTCATAAAATTTCATTTTCAATAAAAACTTCCACCATGTGTTTTATAAACCATCCTGTACTTTGTATGTTTTCTATATTTCTTTTTAAAGAGAGTTGAATATATAAGTAGAGTATATTAGAACTAATTAATGTAACAATAAATTGCTCTGTAATTTAGTTTTAAAAGTAAAACGTCTTTAATGTCAAAGAACACTACTATTATTATTATTTTAAGATATGATTCAGCATGGATTATAAGAAAGTTTTTTTTTCATTTAAAGAATTTTTTTTTTATAAATTATAGTATGTATTTTTAAAGCCAATATTTTTATTATATATATATTATATTGAGAACTATGTTCTGGTTTGTAAAAATTTTGAACATTATAAAAATAAAGAATACGACTATTTTTTTTGAAGTAAAAACATGGTTTTTTGAAAATATAATGGATTAGCCAATCACAGGTTTGTATTTTGATAATTCTCAATTCCGTAATTTGTAATTACAGAATTAATTTCCAGTTGGAAAATTTGCAGCCAAATAGTAAAAAAATAAAGGTTAGTAGGAAAATCTATTTAGAGGTAGTTGAATGGTTATTATTGATATTATTATTTTGAAATGTGGTTCCAGTATTTTTAATTTGGTTTATGGCATGTAAAAAATTATCAGTTGGAGATTTATCATTTTGGGGTTTTGAATTATTGTTTTGAAGTTCAGTTTTTTGTGTTTTTGAGAGAGAAGCAGGCAGGAAATTTGCATGTTGTCTTTTTCTTGAAGGAAAAGAATTTAATTTGGCATACTTTTCTTCAATGCCTTCAAGATGGTTGTTAATGTCGCCTTGAGCTTTTGCTTTTGCTTTATTCAAATTATTAGAGGTTTGTTCATTACTGACATAGTTCCATTCGATGTCTGTAGCTATGATATGTAGCATTTTTTTTGCACCAATCTTTAACCTTTCAATAACTAAAAGAAATATTTTTTTTAGGTTATCTTTAACACATTATATCAGCCATTTTAATTGGTATAAGATACAATCACTTCAGATTCTATATTTTTATAGCAAGTAATGCCATTATATAATTTTTTAGATAGCATGAGGCTTTCTCTACCAAATTCGTTATTGGAAAAGTGGAATTAGGAATGACAGGAGCAGAAAATAGTAATAATGAAGACAAATAAGGTAGATCATCTAGAGTGATTTCAATCCCATTGTTGAAGGTGGAAATTGGCACAGTTTGTATTAAAGTAAGCTAACATTAAAAAAAAAAAAAAAAAAAATTAACATATCATGATTATGGGTTGGGTAGAATTATTTACATATTCGGTGTCTTCAAATACATATCTTCCAACCATTAATGCTATGGAATTTTTTTCTAACTCTGTAATTAAGGATTTTTGGGTCACAAAATCTTTGTATGTTAATTCTCTAAATTCTTCTTTGTTACTGTTTGTTCTGTAAATAGCAGTTCCATTAATGCATTTTTCACTTTCTGAGATGGTTTTAATAAAACATAGGGCTACGAAAATTGAAGTCATTTTTTTTTTCGAAATAAAAAACAAAGATTGAATTATTTTTCTTTTTTTTTATTTAGATGAGATGGATTTTATATATGAAACTTTGTACATTTTTTTTATTTATTTATATTTTACATGATGATAACGATATGTTTATTTGAACAGGTTTTGCGAGTTAATAATAGTAAACCGGTTCAAGAATTTTTTTATTCTCTTTTTAGTCTTAAGCTTTAATGCACTTTCCTTTTATATTTATCTAAAGAGTGTAAAAAGGCAATCGTTCATTTGGTTATATGTGAAAAGATTTTAAAAATTGGGCCTTGGTGGAATAAGAATAGTTTCCTGTTTTTTTTGTTTATCTCATGATATCTTATTGTAGATATTAAAGTTATATTATCCTTTTACGGTCAACAAGTAAAAATTACAACAGAGATTCTTGATGAACGTAAAATACAGATGGCTCAAATCAGCATTATATGATCATTGGAAGCTCTGTGATTTTTAATTTTTCACAGAAAATTCACGATTAATGCCTTGTCTTACGTTGTTTATACCCACGTTTATTATAATTTTCTGTGTGGTTATCTGTTAGCGGGAATCTTCCTATGGAAGATTCTTGGTCATTCTTGGAAAATTATAATGAAGATAGGCATGGACAACAAATAGTAAGGCAGGGTATTAAATAAAATAACATAATTTGACAGCTTTAACTGTCTTTTATAAGGTATTCCAGTAGGACTTTGAAAGATGCGATACTTAGATGATTTATATTAACAGAGATAATCAAATAGAAGTCATTTTTCGATAATAAGATGTTCCATCGAGGTCATAGCCGTAATTACAACTCTAACAAACCCATTAGAATATTGTCTTATAATTAGTTGTAGAGAAAATCAAGAAATTGGTAACATAGTATTAAATGGTAGCGAAATTGAAAATTGGAAATCAAGATTAAAAGTAGACTCACGGATGTCAAAAACTTAGTTTGAGACAATTCAGGTTTAATCGCAATGATTTTGAAAATGGAATTGTGGATA